GACACTTTAAATGAACAAATGATAGCTATGTAGCATAAATTGTGTCCTCTTCCCAAGATCTGCATCTCTAAGATTTATGTGTAGATTCTGTATGACTGTTTTTCTATATGTACTTAAAATTAATGTTGTTTTCTTTTAAATCAGCTGTACATTCCTTCCTTTATCCTGAGATTATAAAAGGTATTTGACTTAGTTATACAGTGTTACTATAACAGAAATACCACAAATGGGTGGGCCTTAACAAACAGAAATTTGGTTTCAGGGGGCTATAAGTCAGAATTTAGAAGTACGTGTTAGTAAAAGGCTTTCTTTCAGCAATCTCTAGAAAGTCCGTATCTCTGTTCTGGAAGATCCTCATGGGCCTGGCATCTCTCTTCCTCCATCTCTTCTTCTCTTTGCTTGCTTGTTTAATTTCTTTTATGTCCCAAAAGAGATTAATTTAAAAGAGATTGACACACTCTATGATAATCTTCCAATATTCTTCTGTCTGTTTGTCATACTGTGGTGGCTTGTGTGTTGATGTGATGCTGGAAGATATGCTACTGGTGTTTCAAATGCCAGCAGGGTCACCCAAAGTAAACAGGTTTCAGCAGAGCTTCCAGACTCAGAACAGACAACGAAGAAGGACTTAGCTCCCCACTTCAGGGGAAGGGGCTGCTGAAAACGATGCATAGCTTTAAAGAATTTTCAAATACTGAAAGCTTAAACAAAGGAAACAAAATATTGTTGGAGGTACTGCTGGCAGATGGGCCCCTCATTCTGAGGCGAGTGGACGGACCATAGTGACATGAGGCGGGTAAGGCTTGTGGGAGCGGAGGCCCCCACTAGTGGGATCTTCAATTGCTGATGGGGCATGACTCAAGGTAAAGAGAAACAGCTGCAAAAATCTTCTAATGATTGGAATTTAGAATGTGTGAAGTATGAATTTAAGAGTATTGAAAGTGGTCAAAAATGAAATGGAACACATGAAGATTGATATCTTAGGCATTAGTAAGATAACATGGACTGGTATTGCCCATTTTGAATCAGAAAATCATGATTTACTATGCCAGGAATAAAACAATCAAGAGAAATGGCTTGACATTCATTGTCAATAAGGATATTGCTAAATCCATCGTGATGTGTAATGCTGTTTATGACAGGATTATACCTATATGCCTTCAAGGAAATCCAATCAATACAAATATTCAACTTTATGCACCAACCACAAACATTAGTGATGAAGAATTTAAAGAATTTGACCAACATCTTCAGTCTGAAATTGATCAAACATGCTATCGAGATGCAGTGATAGTTATTGGCAATTGAAATGCAAAAGTTGGAAACAAAGAGAAAGGAACAATAGTTGGAAAATATGGATTTGTTGATATAAATGAAACTGGAAATCTCATGATAGAATTTTATAAGACTAAGGACTTGATCATAGCAAATATCTTTTTTCAACAACACAGAAGGTGACTATACACATGGACTTTCCCACGTGGAATACACAGAAATCAAATCGACTACATCTGTGGGAAAAGATAATGCAGAAGCTCAATAGCAGCAGCTAAAATCAGGTCAGAGGTCAACTGTGAAACAAACCATCAATTGCTAATATGTAAGTTCTGAATAAAGCTGAAGAAAAGTCAAACAAACCCAGGAGAGCTAAAATACAACCTTCAGTCTATCCCACCTGAATTTCAAGAACAGATTTGATGCATTGAACACTAATGACAGAAGAACTGAAGAGTTGTGAGAAGACATCAAGACCATCATTCATGAAGAAAACAAGTTATTAAAGGGACAAGAAAGAGAAAATGACACGACTTTGCTTGCTAAAAGTGAGGAGAAATTGAAGCACTTGCTGATTAAAATCAAAACGGGTTGCCTTCAGTACTGATTACAACTCAATGTAAAGAAAACCAAAATCCTCACAACTAGATCGATAGGTAACATCATGATAAATGGAGAAAGGTTGAAATTGTCAAGGATTGTGTCTTATTTAGAGCCACAATCAATGCTCATAGAAGCAGCTGCCAAGAGATCAAAAAGACATATTGCATTAGATAAATTTGCTGCACAAGATTTCTTCAGAGCATTAAAATGCAAGGATGTTTCTTTGAGGATTAAGGTGTGCCTGCCCCAAGCCATAGTATTCTCCACTGCGTGATATGCATATGAAAATTGAACATTTAATATGGAAGACCATTGAAGAATCTATGTATTTTAATTGCATGCCCCAGTGCTCTATGGCACGTGGCCTGGGTCCCCAAGTACTGTTACTGTAGGGTTAACTCAAAATTAGGGTAGGAAAATCAGTCATGAGAATAACCAAAAGGACATAAACCCAGACTCTAAGGAGGTGCCCTTGGGCAGATGCTTCCTTTCAAAATATAGAGTCCAAAGAGGACAGAGGCTGTCATGTCTTGTGATGTAAATTGTATTCCTGGATGGGACAGTCCTTATTTCCTAAAGATAGGAATGTGACCAGACAAATGTACTGATACCCAAAGAAGTCTAAAAACCCCGACTACCTGAAATGGAAGTCTTGGGAGTTTGTATCCCACTGTCTTTTCAGATCTGTTAATAAAACATGCTGACTCTCACCATGCCTCTGTGATTGGCTACAGCTCCCGGTGGCCAGACTCTTAGTTTGGTTACATTTTAAAGAATAACTAAGCTGGAAAACATTTAACACAACGATTGCCTTTAAACTAACCTATAGATTGCTGTGAGTTACCCGTGTGTGAACATGAACTGAATTTTGCCCGGTATTTGCCAACTGATTAAACGTTAGCCATTCAATGTAACTTCGCCTTTGGGAATCTTCTGTTTGTTCTGTATATATAAATTGGCGTAAAATAATAGCTCGTCTTTTTGGAGAGGAGACTGTGTAAGCAGCTGTTCGTCAGTAAACTCTACCCACTCATAACAGAATTTGTGTTCATTTGCTTCTCCACAGCACCAAAACAAAGCAATTGCTCTGCAGCGAAACTAGAAGAGATCATTTCACCCGGGAAAGGTTCCCCCCTTCAGAACTATTTCTGGTTTGATATCTTTCCACCATAACATTCTTGCACTGATGGATGTTAACGAAGGGGATACCCAAGGGAGCGTCTGGTGTCCATCACCAATTTCATGACCCAGCATCGAACGCATTTTTTCAGTAGGATCAGAGACTTCCCGGCACTCCCCAGACACAGCACGATGAATTCGCAGCTCAGGATTCTGAGATGATCTGGAATCCCAGAGAAACCGCCAGAAGCTCAGTTTAAGGCCTACGCCCGCGAGGTAAAGGACTACCGCTCCCGTCAGACACTGCCAGCGTTTAGGGGTTGTGTACATTTTCTCATCCGTTCACTCTTAAAAGACTCCGCCTCTCGAGGGAAGGGGCGGGGGTGGGGGGGTGGGGACAGGATCCTCTTCTTTCCCTCCGGGTCCTGAGCGTGGCCACGCCCCTGTCTCCAGACGAATACAGATGACGTTGAGAGTCTTCTTGTTGCGCGTGTGAGGTGAGTTCGCAGATAATCCCTGGCTGAGTTCCGGCGCTCCGAAACAGCGGAAGAGGCAGCGGAGGGCGGCCGCGATGCCTCGCCCGCGGCGGGTCAGTCAGCTCCTGGATCTGTGAGTCCACCTGGTCCCTGTCCCCTTCGCGCCGACCCAACACCTCCTCCCCTGCGCCCGGCCCCGCGCTCCTTTCCCTTCCCGCCCCCGAGCCACATCCCGAGCCCTCAGGACGATCTGCTGCTGTTGGTAGTCTTGGTTCCCGGTTTGTCACCTCCCTGTTGAGGACAGTTGGCAGAGTGGGCAGATGGACAAGTGTGCGCCTTCGTCGTGTACCCTGGACGCAACCAAGACCGAACTCCTGTCAGACCGGGACGGTGGCCTGTGCTTGATGGGCGCTGTACGCCTTGGTTGAACTAAAGGAAACAAAAGATGGGGCTCTCAAAAAACCTTCAGCTAAATTCCACCCTGGTCTCTGTTACTGAACTGGGATAGTCATTCTCTGAGGCAGGATCTCGCACACCGATTAAGATTATGGATTATATTTTTTTAATTTATTGATAAGTCATTTTGTTGGAGGCTTTTATAGCTTTGTCAACAATCCATACATCAATTGTATCAAGAACATTTTCACAAATGTTGCCATTACTATTTTCTAAACATTTACATTCTATTTGAGCCCTTGGTATCAGCTCCTCTTCCCCCCCGCCCTCAAGGACCCCTGATAAATGATAAATTATTATTTCCATCTCTTATACCATCCAGTAGGATGATGGATTCTTGATTGCAATATCTCCATTCCACTGCCAGCACTTCCATTCAGCAACTATATGACCACAGATTAATTACTTAACCTTTCTCTGTGTCCAGGACCTCTAAAAATGAGTAAAATAATAAATAGTACCTGACTCATAAAGTTGTAGTGAGAAATAAGGCAATACGAAAGCCCTCAAACATCTGTCTAGAAAATAGTAAGCCCTATTTAAGTGTTAAATATAATTACTATTTATTTCACTCTGGAAATTGTACTTGAAGTTGCAGTTACAATGGAATCTGTTCAGTCCAGAAGTTGTCGGTCCAGTAATATTGTACTTATTGCCATTGATAAGATTCCAACTAGTACCGCCCTGTAGGACAGGATAGAACTGTCCTGTAGGGTTTTCACACTTGTTATCTATGGAAGCAAATCGCTATATTGTTCTCCAGTGCAGCAGCTGGTGGCTTCATGCTGTTCATCTTTTGATTAGTAGCTTAGATAGAACTGCACCATCAGAGTACTTCCCAATAGTATTCCCATGTGAAAAATAGTTTAAGGAGAGCATTGCCCATCTCCTGAAGGCTTTCTCTAACTGAGGATTTGACAGTTACTTATTCCTCATTTACTTTTTGCCTTCAAACCACAGCCAGTTTTCGTAAAGAGAAAATCTGTTGGTTCTTTGTAATAAACTGAAAGACTTGTATATTGTTCCAAGAACAAGATCCTGTTTTAGTTCTTAGCATGAAAATTTTATCTGTCAGTAAAAGCAGTTTATAACAGCAGTTAAAGAGCTTAAGCTAAGAAAACAGACTTTTTGAGATCTATTTATATGTCTAACATTTATGAATTATATTACCTTAAGCACATATATAACCTGTATTTCAGTTTTCTCATTTTGAAATGGAAGGCATTGATAACATTACCTATGGTATTGAAACTATTATGATTAAAATACAAAATCACAACATGAAAAATAATTGCTTGATGTTCAACCATTTTAGGAGGTAGCATATGGTCAAGAGCCAAAGAGACTGAAGGAAGAAGTCAAAGTCGCATTGAAGGTACTGGCAAAAAAGCAAGGCTCCAGGAATTCATGGAATACCAATTGAGCTGTGGCAACACAGGAAACACTCATCTGTGCCAAGAAATTTGCATGACAGCTATTTGGTCAACTAACTAGAATAGATCCATATTTGTGCACATTACAAAGAAAGATAACCCAATTGGACATGGAAGTTATGGAACAAAGTCATTAATATCACATGCAAATAAAATTTTGCTGACAATAATAAATAGTATCTGAACAGGGAACTGCCAGAAACTCAGGCTGAATTCAGAAAAGGATGTGGAACAATTGACATCATTGTTGACATCAGATAGATTTTAGTGGAAAGCAAAGAATACCAGAATAATGTTAACTGTGTTTTATTGACTATACAAAGGCATTCGACTGTGTAGACCATAACAAACTATAGATAACATTGAGAAGAATGGAATTTCCAGAACAATTCATTGTGCTCATATGAAACATATACGTAGACAAGGAGGCAGTTGCTTGAACAAAACTAAGTGATACTGTGTCATTTAAAATCAGGGAGGGTTGTATCCTATGACCATACTTATCAATTTATATGCTTAACAAATAATTCAAGAGGATGAAACAGGACCCAGCATCAGAATTGGAGACTCATTAACAATCTTTGATATAAAAATAAGACAACTTGTGAAAATAAAGACTTGAAGCATTTCCTTATAAAAATCAAGGCTACAATCTTCCATTTGGAGTACACCTCAATGTAAAGAAAATAAAATCCTGACAACTGACCCAATAAACCACATCAAGATAATGTAGAAAATACTGAAATCGTCAAGGGTTTCCTTTTACTTGAATCTACAATCAATGATCATGGATGCAGCAGTCAAGAAAGTCAATGTTGTCCAATTGCATTGGACAAATCTCTGCAAAAGACCTATTTAAAGAACTGAAAGATAAAACTGTCACTTTGAGGATGAAGGTACAACAATGATTCTGACCCAAACCATGGTATTTTCAATCACCTCATCTTCGTGTGAAAACTAGACAATGAATAAAATAGACCAGAGAGGAATTGATTCATTGGAGTTATGGTATTGCCAAAGAATATTAAATATACCATGGACTGCCTGGATAACAAACAAATCTGTATTGAAAGAAACACATCCAGAATGCTCCTTGGATGCAAGGATGATGAAACTTTGTCTTACTGTCTTTGATTATTAGGAGAAGCCAGTCCCTGGAGAAGAACATCTTGCTTGGTAAAGTAGAGGGTCAGCAGAAATGAGGAAGACCCTAAATTAAATGGATTGACACAAAGGCTGCAATGGTGGGCTCGAACACAGTAACTACTGTGAGGATAGGGGCAGAACGAGGCTATATTTTGTTCAGTTTTACATAGGGCCACTGAGTCTGAACGACTTAACAACATCTAGCAAAAACATTATATGAAAATCCCTTATGTGGTAGTTATATAATCTGGTGTCAACTTGGGACTATTAAGGGAGGGAGTTTAGCCGGTCAATCAAGTCACAGCTTGATGACATCATTTTATGGAGATAAATAGTTCACTGGAGGTGGGACACTTACTTCCTGCGAGGCATTCCTGGTACAAGCCATATGGAGTTACACTAATAGAGCCAGAGCCCTGGAGCTGGAGGAACCATGTGGAGACCCACGCCAGTGCTAAGATGCTTCCACCACCACTGGATCCACAAGACTTTCCACCCACTGGCCTGTAATATTCCTGCATTCAGTGTCATTGCAGGTGCTGCATGAGTCTGAAGAAGAATTTAAAGACTGGTAATGGACATATGGGCTAATATCAGATTTATGGACTTGACCTGGTCTGGCCTTACACACATAAAAGCGTCTATGAATTTGTTTCTCTAGTCAACCCGGACTAACACACCATAGAACGGCGCTTTGGCGCATATTATTCATTAGTTGTTTTCAATATTATTGAATATCTACCATATTCAACAGCAGTGGAATAAAAACTATGTTATCTAAATTCTGACCTTTATTCTAAGGCTCAGTTTAATTCCTGAAGCCTCCCCGAGGTTTCCAGACAATTGATTCTCTGAACTCCTAAGGCCAGAATCAAGTCTTTGGTTTTTTGTATGCACAGTTCTTTATTTGTAGGAAGTGCTCACTATCCATTGTTGACCAGTTGAACAACAAGTGCTTAAAGAGCACATGTGGCAGGATATGGAAAGCTGCATAAAAAGGTGAAATAAGATAAGTATATAAATTAATATAGATAAACAATATTACTAAAGAGGGATGAACAAAGTGCTTTCAAAGTTTTGATGAGAACAAGAACATGATAGCTTTTCAAAGGGAGTTATACTTGAAGATTGATTAACATCAGGCAGTTGCTTATAGAGGAAATGTATCCAAAAAGGAGGAGAGGCGGTGTGGAGTGATGAATGCAGTAGCTCCATGGGCAGGAAAGCAAGAAACACACAAGAAAGTAACATTCCAATACTATTTGTACGATGAGAACGTGTGGCATGAAGAGCGAAATCGTGATACACAGAGCTAGATAATTTGGAGTGGAGCTCTACTGAGAAAGCCTTGTTAACCAGAATGAAGAGAATGTTTTAGTGTAGAAACTATCAAAGGTTTTGGAAATGTATTGGGATTAGTGTGAATTTTGGAATGGAGAGACACGGGAAACTGACAAAATTGTGGATAAACTTTAAGAGTCCAAAGTAGGAGACGTGAATATGTTCAATTGTAGAATTATATCTGGTATGCAGGCGTTAGGGTATTACCACTAATAGAGAATCTGGAGTAGTATACCAGCACAGATGTTAGAAAAGTAAACAGTAAGTGCACATAGACCCTCAATGACATGGATTGATACACCAGCCACAGTAGTGGGTGCAGAGACAGGAACAGTTGTGAGGATGGTGCAAAACTGAGCAGTATTTCCTTCTGTTGTACATAGGGTTGCTATGAGTTGGGATTGACTCTGTAATACCTAACAACAACAACAGACGAATAAAAGAGCTAAAAAACAGGATAGTGAGAGACCAAAAAATAATAGATATAAACTTATCTGAAAGAGTAATAAAATGAAGTGTGAATTGAATACATAATCCAATCTAATGCAGAGATTTTCAAACTGGAAGAAATTTGACACATTTTAAACTTTATTAAAATTACGTAAAGGTAAAATTCAGCTCAACTTTTATCAGCATATCAGTAATGGATAAATTGTCCAACTAATGGAGTAGTAAAAATACACAAGAACAAAGTGAATATGAACATACTATAGCTACATGCTACAATATAGATGAATATCACAATGCTAAGCAAAAA